CGGCGGCGAATGTGAATTGTTTGTTAGGATTGGATGATGATCGTCAGGGAAATGTTGAAGTTGGTTTGAAAGATGAAGGGAGTGGAAGTCAGAAGAATATGAATTTGAAAAATCAAGATGTTCACTCGGTTCCTGATTCTCCTATGCTTGAAACTACTTCTTCTTTTGGTTCAACTTCTTCGTCTCCTTCGCTTGCTAACTTGCCTCCTATTCGAGTCCACGTCGACGATCAGAAGGAGAATAAAGTGGTGGGGATTGAGGAGCAGTTTGCTCAATTTACTGTGAGTGCTGCTGCTGCTGCTGGAGGTGGAGGGGGAGGGGGAGGGGTGAAGCAGCAGGATGAAGGATTTGTGGTTTTGTCATCGCCGCCGCCGATGCCGGTGGGCATAGCTGTTTCTGGTGGTGGGGTGGGTCTGAGTTCGGGTGTGGTTCCTGGGGAGTATACCAATCGGGGTTTTTCGGATGATGAGAGATCGGATCATGGGGTTCCTGCTGGGTATAGGAAACCGCCACCTCCGCAGTCACAGCCTCAGGGTTTGCCTCTTCAGAATCAGCAGAAGTCCAGCAGTGGTCATGATTTGGCTTCGCCGGATTCTGTTTCAAGGTACCATTTTCTCAACCTTGAATTCGTTCCTAATCTTTAATTTTGCTTGGATTTAATTTTAAATAGTAGCTGAGGTTCGGATTCTCTTTTCTTTTGTGTTTGTTTTTAATTTGGGCAGTGACAGTAGTTTTACAAATCCATTGTCACGCCAAAAACCTATGATTTATCAAGACCCGGTTGCTCAAATCCCACTTGGAGCTAACAGGGTGGCTGCAAACCCTGTTGATCCAAAGCTTAATATCTCTGATCTGAACACAAGTACTCGGATTCAGATTCAACAACCAGTTCAGGAATCTGGTTATATATTGCAGCAAACCCAATTTGACCAACAGCAACAGCACCAACCACAACCACAGCAACAACAGCAATTCTTACACGCTGGTGCAGCACATTACATTCATCATCACCCCGCTGGGGCAGTGCCAATCTCAGCTTATTATCCTGTATATCCTTCCCAACAGCAACACCATCATCACCAGCACGCACAGATTGATCAGCAATATCCTGTGTATTATGTGTCCGCAAGGCAACCCCACGCTTACAACTTGCCTGTCCAGCAACCTAGTATTAGTGAAGCCACTACTGCAATCCCATCTAGCCGTCCTCAGACTCCTCCAAATCCTGCCATGGTTCCTCCTCCTGCAGCATACAACCCTATGAGAAATGCTCCTATTAACAAACCTGAATTGGCTGCTGCCACAGGAGTGTACAGAACAACAACTACTGGTACTCCACAACTGGTCCAAGTGCCAAACAGTCAGCATCAGCAACAATATGTGGGGTACTCTCAGATTCATCATCCATCACAGTCTGTTGCACCTACCTCCGCTGCAACTGCCACATATGCTTATGAATTCTCAGATCCTGCTCATGCTCAGATATACTACACTCAGCCTTTGGCACCCACAATGCCTTCTCAGTACCAAACCATGACTGCAGCTGCTGCAGTAGTATTGCCAGATGCATCTTCTCAGCTTACGACTGATAACATCAAGCCACAGATCAGAACTTCACAGCCAATATAAATCAGTCAAGGAGAAAGCAACAACAATTTTGAAGGAAGGGTTTGGTTTATATCTTTAAATTCTGTTTTAGTGTCTGCCTTGTTATTGTTATTGGTTTGTGATATGTATTGGTCAAGGATAATAAGGAACTCTGGTGGTTTTTTACTATCTCGTGTGTGTCATATTGTTGTTATTGTCATAGGAAATCAAAGTCATCTGAAGATTATACTGTAACAGCTCAAACTCATATATTGTGTGCTTTGTGCAGTTCATATGTCAGTTACAGAATAATGGTTATACAAATAGCAAAAGCTTAAAGTTAATTGGTTCTTACATTGTTCTTGATCCAGGGTTCCTATGATATTGGGTATGCAGAGACATATATCTGCAATAATAAATTTTTGCTAGAAGCTCGAATAGGATCCATTACTTGGAAAGTTTTCGTGAAGAAAGTGTTTCACATGGATGGACTGTTCGAGCCCTACCCAAAACAAGATTTGAGGCTAACTGCCTTAAATAAGGAGACTTATCCACTGTTTGATTTGGCAAAGATGCATTTTCTGTTAAAGTCACGCAGCACTCTCAAAAACTACGAACATTTGTGAGGAGCTCTGCCCCTGCACCTGTTGACACTTTGACAGGCATTATGTCCTAACTGCTCTTTCCCATTGATCAAATCCATAACAATTGCTGCAACATTCTAGTATTTTATTATGAATTCTGCCAGTTTTTCATCATTTATATTTACAGTTGATGAATTTCATTCTTAGGAATATTCACTAGATTCATTATATTGATGGTTATATAGGTTTTATTAAGGACTCTTGCTTAGTATAGTCCTCAATCTCATACATCTTCTTGGATGCTTTATTCTTGATAATCAAATATTTGTTTTTCCATCCACACTATCATCTGGGAAACTCTGCCTATTGCCCTATTCTTTTCTCCACTTTTAAGGAGTCAAGCTAATCACTTCACACAATTGATTACAGATTTGTTGCAGAGAATTTCTGGGTGAATTTATGTTTCGATAATTAGCTTCCTCTTTGGTTGTTTGTATTTATATTAACTGGCATGGTCGTCATTTCTTCTAACTACATGTATGCGGACAGACTTGCTCTCTCTGCTGGAAATTCTTTCGGGTTCTGAACCTACTTCACCAAGTAGGCCATGCTGTCATTGCTGACGATGTGAGAAACTTCCCATTTGCAACAGCGCAGGGCCCTGTATCCTGAATTATGCTTTTCTTGTTTCTTTCTTGTTTTCTCATGTCGTAATTTCTTGGAAAAGTTTGTAATGTTTAAGGCCATGTACTTTCTGCTGCATGTAATCTCTTTTGATTCTCTCTCCCTCAGCTTTACTTTCTTAGATCGTCAAGTTTTATGTCATTTTCACTCTTTCACATGCTTTTCTTCGCCAAGAATATTGTAATGGCATTATTATTAATTCTTCTTTCATGTTGGAAATCCTTGTATGGAAGATTTACAAGATTTTTGAGTGAAGCCCACTCCAAATTCCACCGCATATAAGGGCTAAATACATTGCATGTCCCGAGGTGGGGACATTCTCCATGGCTTTTACCGAAGCAATTATTTGATTCTATGAATGGGACATCTCCTCTTCTGTGCCTTTTTAACATTGGGATTGAAGAATGCAGCGCTCCAAATATAGAGCATTTCATTCTTAAAAAGCTTCGCCAAAAACAGTAAAAAATCCATTACAAAACTGAAGTTGTATAATCTTTATCAGATGATTCCTGGACCTGCTGCTGTGAGGTAATTCCAAACACATTACGTTAAAGTTAAGAGATAAGCGAAAGGAAAAACACACTGATTCTCATGTGACTGTGCTTTTGATTCTGTGTTTAATTATCTAATTTGTTCTGGTAAGTTGTAAATTAAGTTTTAACGTTGGAGGTTTCGTTTTTGCTTCGGAAACATAAGAGATTATGACTGAGATAAAGGCAAACCAAGTGGTATAATAATGACTTTGCTCCGCATGCTGCCGCCCGCCGCTCCATGCCAATGCCAATGCCAATGCCATCACCCTTGACGTTGTCCGAGAGAGACGTTGATGGTGACTAGATTCCCAGCTGCCCTTCTCTGTCTCGATCGTTAGGGGAAATTAAGGTGGTTTCTTATGAAAATATGATTTTTATTCACGTTTATGGAAATTAAAATAGACTACCTAACTATTACACAGAAGATAAAGCCTGACAAGTTTTAACTCGTAAGGGAGCCCTTTTTGTTGCCATGTAGAAACATCATGAATCAAAGCACCAAGGGGCAATCCAAAATATTTTGCAATTAGGTACTTTAACTAGTGACGAATTTTTGGAAGACCAGAATTTAATCATAACTCTTTGTTGCTTGAAGAACTTGGCTCCATTATGTAGTATTGCTGCTGGCCTCTTTATTTTTGTGCAAGGTGGATACATGTAGATCCCTTCTCTTATTTAAGTATTTGAGATCGATTTTTCATTTTCAAAAGAATATATATATATATAAATATATTTGTGTGTGCGTAAATTTATTATATTATTCGAGTATTGGAATACAATTTCTTTACAC